GTTAATTTGGCTGGAACGCGAATGTGCTCCCTTGATGTTCACTCTTTATTAACACTGTTGACTATCTACGCGAAGTTATCTCAAACCATGATGTTCGACTTCGGCTCCCCACGGAATAGTTGAAGAAAATGATACTTTTATGAACGCAAAACATCAAGTTTTATTTTCAAGGGAAGGCGTATGGGCAGATAGATGGTGCAGCCATGGGTAGCCCATTAGGCCCGTTGTTGGCGGACGTATTCATGGGTATGATTGAAGAAAAAGCACATAACCTAATAAGCGTTATGTTGATGATATACTGCTAATTATGGATTCGGATGGGGACATTGAGCATGCGACCAAGACACTCAACAAATTGCATCCGAACCTTACAGTGATACGTGATAACGTGTAGGATAACTGTCTTCCGTATTTAATTATACTGATTACACGGAGACCAGACGGTTCCAGCAGTAGGCCTTTGTACAGGAAGCCAACCTGGACCGGTCAGTATGTGGATTTTACGAGTTTCTCCCCTATCCAACACAAACGCTCTCTCGTCCGGACACTCTTTTATCGGGCGCAAATGATCCGCACACTTACCATAGAAGCAGAAAGGGATTTACTTTTCAATACACTACAGTTGCAGCCCATTAAGGGTGTCAGTGAAGCAACCAAGCGAGATCATGTGCTAACAGTTCCGAAGAAGCCGATCTTCATCGAGCTACCTTTCAAAGGTGACCATGTTATGAAGGTCACCGAGAAACGGATCAGGGCTTCACTCAAAAGAGCGTACAATGCGGCGGAACTGCGGCTACTCACATCGACGAGACCTATGATTATGTGTCGGATTAAGACACCGACGACGAGGCAATGCACGTCCCAGTGTCTTTATAAATTCACCTATAGCTGCGGAGCTACGTTGGGCGTATTACCCAAAGTTTAGGTGTCGGAATCAATCAACACATCCCCAAGTGGTTACGCAACCGAATGGCGTCTGTAACGACGGAATCGGTTGAATCGGGAAACCGAGCTGCCTCGGCAATCACAAAGCACTTGCTTACCACCGGCCACCGAGTCAATCCTGATGAGTCATTCACTGTCCTACTGCACGATCGGCGGCTTCACATGCTTAGGCTATTGGAGGCCATCGTTATCGATCGCGAGCGATCGCCGCTGTGCATTCAAACACAGCGGACCGTGGCTTTAAGCGTATCCTAGTAGCGCAAATCCGGTGCTATATCTTTGATATTGTTGGTTGTTCATTTACAATCCCCTGCTGCATATTCTTGTGATTGATGCACGAAATGGCGACGTCATCTCACAATATGCGTCTTCTGATTTTCCTGTTTTCAACCCTGAATAGCCTGTCTAGAGTGGTGCCATCATTTGGGATGCGCTTCGCACCTTCAGTGTTGCTGCAGGATCACTAGCCACTTGATCACCCCTTGACCCTTGCTAACGAGAAACTTGAGATAGTTGACCAAACCGCTTATCTTGGCAGCTGCATCAGCAACGATGGGCACCTAGAAACTGACGTCAGCTCACGCAGTGCAAAGGTCAGAATTGTCTACTTGAACCTGTGGCAGCTTTGGTGAGAGAAAAGAGTTTCCCTCCGTCTGAAAGACCGTGTTCACAAGGCAACAGTGAGGGCCGTTCTGCTCTATGGGAGTGAGACTTGGCCCCTTCGGTCTAAAGATATGAGGTGCCTTCAAGTCTTCGGTCATCGTTGTCTGCGAAGCATTGCTGGTCTCGGATAGCACCAGCTTGTTCACAAAGATGATGTGCGTAGACGAGCACTAGGTAGTGATAGTCATGCTAGCTCCCTAGAACAAAAATAGCACTGAATAAGTTGCGTTAGCTTGGGCAAGTGCTACATATGTCTGGTCACCGCTTATCTAGGGGACCTTGTTTAGTCTGCCAGGTGTAAGGCGGCGCAAAGCCCGAGGTGGACAGAAGTTGACTTGACAGTTGGAAATGAAGTCACCAACGACCAACTGGGTGCCGTTGCTCCGTCTCGCCTTCCGGGCCGGAGTCCACATGATTCGCTTTGTGCTTGGCTCGAGACTTTACAGGATATGGCTCGCAACCGATACCAGTGGCGCATCTACTGCCGTCTCCTAGTCGGATTGCCTGCTTAAAGTGTTTGATGCTGAGTTATGTACGGGGTAATGGCTGATTATGACGCGGGGTAAAGAAAGCCGCAAGGAAGCTGTCTCGCCGATTCCGCCTTATTTTTGCACGATAGCCAGCTGTTTGTGACGGTATGTCGTCTACACAAGGTGTAAGCGCCTTGACTCAGAATGTTTGCTTAGGGTATTGAGGTTTTCAGGTAAGTCCCCCTTCTCTCCATCTCACTATTTTTATCCCCTGGGTTATCATGGTTGTAGGTCAGCGAAGCATCAGTTCAAATGGCTGATGTACTGCTGTTGTTGACTGATGCTGAGACGCTCGAGCATAGCGAGGCCAGAGAACTGGTGTTTCTTAGTATCTTTTGACGTTACGGATTGTGGTTGACATACTCGGTGGTGTGCCGCATGAAACCGGTGGTATCTGCACCAGAATACTGATTATATTCTTTGGGGGGCACTGCTTATCCTAAATATCGGCGCTTCTTGGCAGTAATCGTAACCCAAATTGCACTGGTGTCTGCTTGTTCTCTTGCCTATGCACCCGGTCTGTGAGTAGAAGCCGTACGTGTATTCATTCTGATTAAACGGAGACTCACATTAGTAGAAGGTTGGCCGCTCGTGATACCGGAACATCGGTAGGCCTTCTGGGCTATTGGTGTAGCTTTACTAGCGGTGCTACAAGCCATTCTATTCAGGCTTGGATCAGCGCTCACCGTGGAGACCTTGACTGCACATTCCGCTATGCTTACCCCAGCTGTGGTGATCACCATTTCCTCAACCTTGACTAGTAGCGGGTCGTAATTCTGAGATAATAAGGTCACGCTTTGTATCAGCGGAATAGACGAGCATTCCGCGCAAAATCAGAGAGAAGCTGGTTCGTTGTCACGCAGTCTCGCTGCACTAAGTTTCAGCATGCTGCATTCCGCGTGGAAAATTTTACAACAGTTGGAATACGGAATACCCTATTTGATGAGTGTGGTACGCAAGCCACAAAGATTTTTAGCCAAAGGCACACTAAGCGTCCCGGTCGCTGAGCGAATGTTAAGACCCATTAGACTGATTCACCCATGATGATCAGCAGTTGTTAGGGTGTTAACGACGTTTAGAGCAAAAGCACACGGTTCGCGTCGATCTGGCATAACAACAGGACGTTCCCTTTAGGCGTTAGTCCGGCGTGTCGGCCGGATGCATGCATACTGCTGGAACAACGATGCCAGTATCGCGCGATAAAACAGGCGACGTTTTGACCACGGCTGTCAAATAGAATTGCCAGGAGACTGAGCAGAGTCTATTAGACGTCGTTAACCAAACGGCGGAATCACGTAGGTGGTGCTGCAAAGGAAAGTTTGTTCGGACTGACGCTCGATTGGCTGCCTGATTCGTTTCTGTAATCTTGTCCATTCATACCGATTGCATATGAACATCATATAATTAAATTTTTGGACTTATTTTGCCCCCCCCCCAGTTGCTAAATACTTCATGAGTTCTGCTACCCTAGACTGTCTATGCTACCTGACCCGTTGTGGTTGTCTCAAGCGCGCCCTATCTTCTCTCGTGCGTAACCTCTTGGTACTGAAGATGTTTTCTCCCATATTGATGTCAGGGGATCTATCACCCCCCTTTTCCATCATATACAGGTAGTGGTTGGATTCGCGCTGTTTTCTCATACTGTTTGCCAGTTTCGTCGTTAGGATTATTTAATGGCTCGTGTATGCATATGTTCAATTTATCATTAGGAGTGAAAGTATCGATACTTTGCAGTGCAGACCAGAACGTTTCGCATGGCATGTGAATACCTATTGCGCAAGGTGGATACACAAAGTTGAAGCGATGCTAGTGCTAGCGTATAGATCAGAGACACAGCCAGGACACCATTAAAACAGTAAAGGACAGTCAACACTCACTAGACGCCAGGCAAATCTGGTGAGAAGAATCGCAGTGCATCTGGTACTTCGGGTAGCAGAGCACGTTAAGGAAGTTGAATGAACCAAAATTAGATGTAACTGAATGATAGCGCCCTATGACGCTTGGTAGCTCAGATGTGTTTCGTCTACTGGGGATATGAGCAGGTAGGTGTGTACCAAGGTGGTGTCACAGAGAATATGATCAAGAGAAGCTGCAGCAGCTACTGCCAGGTAACAAAGTGAACTTGAGATGGGAGCGGTGGACAGGGTGGTCTGCAGTGTTGACAAATCACTTAAGATATCGCATATACGCTAGTTAACACAGATTGTTTCTAAAATGAGATATGCAAGGATCGACTGGATGCATTCTTTGTTCTATGGCAAAACACGTGAAATCAAAGTTCGGCAATCGAAGTAATGCAATTGTATCTGGCAAAGTGTAGAACCAACACACAAAACAGCAAATTCATAGCGCAAGCAGTTACATCACTAGAAGCTGCACAAATCAAAAATGTAGTCAGAAACAATGAAAGAAGGCGTGATATTGGATACCTGAGTCAGAAACTTCGAGACTGTGTGAACGATGCGGAAAGTATACAAAAGGTGGGTGTGGAAGAAATACTGATGGGAACAGCGATGTAAAAAGCGCACGAATGAAAGCCATCAAAGAGAACGGAAGTGACACGTTACACAAGTGAATGATAATTTGTAAATACAACAGCGAAAACTGTAGCCGTGATTGGTTATTGATTGGAAAGCAGTGGGCGCTCAAAACCGAAAGCGTGGCGAATGCTCTGGTTCGATTGTGGCGGGTAAATGGGAAATAACACGAAATCAGTAAAATCTCAACAATAAAAACGAGGGATAAAAGTCCCAAAAATCAAAAGCAGCAAATATTCCGCGTGGCTTAAGAACCAGCAGTATGTTTTCATGTACGAAAGTATAGTAACGGACGGCATAATAAGAATATCACAAAATTGCCGATTCAGTTCCAAATACGAAGAAACGAGTCCCAGGAACCGGTACAGATTGCGAAGCCATCTTTGGTAACACCAAGGCAAGACACTCGACTAATGTGGCCTGTGAGGACACCTGAAATGATGAAAAAGTGGGAAACGATTCTCATTATGTCATTCCTTTGGATAGGAGAAGATAAGCAATGCAAATACAGGCTATGGATCGATGGATACACGTGAGCACAAAACGAGCTGGATTTCTGCGCTACCACCGATGTGTATCATTTTGCCTTCGAGTCTCAGTCCCGTATAATGGGTGCGCATAAGTACGAAATCAGCCGTGGGCAACATGTAAAACGTTGAAATTCTACAAAACAGGGTGACAAGCTAGAAGCATGGGGAGAAGGGAACAATCTAGGATAGGAAGCCTCAAGGGCTCACTGGGAACGGCAAAGAGGTGCGTGGATGACATGGGGATACGGTAAATTGCGGCGCGGAAGAAAAGTATGTCATACTGTTCAGTGTTCAGCGGTAAAGCACTCACCATATGCTTGGATTCCGGCTATTGATACACTTCGGTCATTTCGAGCGCTAAGACGGTGCTCGAAATGAAGCGTTTTCCGTGTCTTGCTGCCAACACTGCATTTCAACGTTGGATTGCTAAGTACCTTATCAAGCATTGCTCTGAATGGCCTAATGTGTAAAATGTCAGCTGTCTCCAATTCCATGCCCGGACCCAACTGTCCTCATATGAGGAGTCGAAACACGGATAGTAAAGTCGATCAAGAAGTGTAGTGTTAGAATCGAACAACACCCGAGGCGCGGCCACAAAGTTAGTTAGCTTTTACCAAGGCAACCCATTTCACAGAAAAGTTAATGGGGCAAAAATGAAAACCTTTGTAATAAGCCATTCCACTCAGTGCGTGAAAGCAAAACTGACATTAGCAATACACCTGTGCGCTGTACCGAGAACCCGATGCAGGCGGATATATGCGGACCGGGGTAATAAAACCTGCACAGCAGGGAGATTTGAGGCTGGGAACAGAGATTGCGAGTCATATAGATGAGAAAATTGATCAAAAATAAGCAATTTCAAAACTGTGCAGTTGACTACAGAAATGAGAAAGCGACCATAAACTTGATAATATTAAACGAAACAACACTTAACAGTTAAACCGTCTCAAAGAACAGACAAACCACTGAATGTGACAACGTCAGATAGCGTTTTCCTTGAAAATGAGGACGCAAGCAGTAACATGTCGATGAGGCTGTCAAAATGGACGGGATAAGTGAATAATAAATGACGTACCACATTGTTCCTGCTTCAGTGTATCCCATATGAGGCATTTACTGTCATCGTACCCAGCGAATAAAAGGCGGCCGCTTGTACTAAAGGCAACACTGGATACTCCGCAAAGAATGCCATCATGAGTATAGATCCCGACCTGTTGATCGGAGCGAATGTCGAAAAGACGACAGGTAGCATCGTCGCCGCCGGTGACAAAGGACATTCCGTTTGGGAAATAGGTGACTGCGTTGATGTCCGCCTCATGACCTTGAAAAGTTTGTTTGCATTTGCAATCACGAAGGTCCCAAAGCTTCAAACAAAAGGTAAGATACACGGTGTATTGAAACAGTCAAGGAGCGTATCATATGCTTGCCTTAGGCGCTGACTAAAAAGCCCAGCGGGCAAGAGTATATTGTAAAATGTAACATGATGACCTAGAACTCAAAAGAACAAATGATGTAAACAAAACTGAACACGGAGTGAATAAAGGAGAAAAAAGACAATGAATTGGTTACCCTGAGGAGAAAAACAGTTGGACGAGATAAATACTGGCAAGCGACTAGACGATGAAGAGAAGTACGGCGCGTAACATTAAAGAAGTCGTAGACATTTTGAGCCGGTGGCTTGCAAACAGTTCATGTTTTAATGAACAAATTGGCAAATATAGGAGTAATCCCAGATTGAGTCAATCAAAAACACAATGATAGCGTTGATACATACAAAAGTAATCTCAACATTTGGATACACTTATCAATCGGTGAAGAGTTGAATGCCACAATGATCGTCAAGTATAAATAACGTGGAGTTTATGATTGGGGACAGACAGATATCTAAAACACTGTTACTACAAAGATGGGTGTCCGCAGAACAGGGAGTTGTTGAAGTGAGCTAAACAGATGCCCAAGATGTTAAATCATCATCAGTAGCATCAAAAACAAGTAAACTATGCAAGTGATTTGTACCAATGCTACGTTGCGATAGAACTACGGTGACTAAGGGAAGGAAGAATAATGAGATAAAGAGGGATTTATTGAGAACTTAAAAATCCGAAACAAACACTCAGGGACAAGATGATTACACACTAACAACGCAAGGCCACAAACAACCTGATATCATGCGAGGATAAGGAGTCCCCGGCGACAGCTAATGTGTGCTTTACACTGTCACGCGTTATAAACAAGTTTACTCTGTAGTTATTTCAGCAACACAAATAAAATAGGCAGCCACAGCAGAACGACAGCAAACGTTGCCGGCTGCGTACCATGTTATGTCAAGTGGGTCGCGTGAACTTCAGCCTAGAAAACGAGACGAATCGAGAGCACATAGTTTAGTCGCCAGTGACTGCACTTCCCAGCAATACGCCGACCTTCGCCAACCTCGAGTTTTGTTTTTCACTTCATCGGTTACTTATCTTGCGTTTGAACCCCGTTTGTTTTTGTTTCTAGTTCTTCCTATTTGTCACCCACATTACTTCTTCCTCACTTTGAAAACTCCCCGACTACCAGTGCAGAACACTGGTAAGTCGGTAGCCTAAAAAAGGAATTTATTTAATGACCTACTCACTATTGCATCTGAACATTGTCTCCCCAGGTTTCTAACTTCCAATCCGCCACTAGTCGTTTAATTCCTCGTCTTGAAAAATACGCGTCGGTTACACGTGCCGGCACTTCTGCATAAGACAATTTTTAAAAGTAGCATCCCACATGCTCTTCCTCGTTAGTTTTACACTGCTGACCGGTGTGTGCGTTGTAATCCGGAGGTCGGCGATTCGAATCCGCCGTAGGTGCGGGTGACCTCACCGCATACCCAGCCCCTCGCGTGGCTGGTGATGGTAATCGACTGGCAGCGAAGCGTTTGCGTACTGCTGAGACCTAAAAACACGAGGCGCTTCTTTCTTAATAGTTCAGTATCCTTGATTCCCTTGATCTACGGCAGTAATCACAAGTGTCACGCCTTCGGTAAACATGTCTACCCGTTGCGAGACTTGTGAAGCCATAATACATAGCGCTGGCTTTTGTGAATGGATGTTTATATCTTAAGACCCTATATGAATCTTGCAAGGTATAACTGCGATTATAAAAGCAGAACATTACTTTTGTTTTCTTCTTACCTGTAGATCTCGAAGAATCGTCGTATGTTAAATATTTGAATTAGGAGAGACTCAAATACATTCCACTATGTCCTATATACTCGCACGCCTCATTAAACTGTTCGAATCTCACCATAAACACAATTGGATATTTTTATCTCATCCGATTTCCACCCTCAAACTTTCTAAATTAGTTCACTGCTGCATCTTTCGATCGTTTGATAACGGTTGTTTTCAAATCCTCTTGAAGTCACGAATTCTCGATCGGTTCCAAGCATTTTCAAGATATTGAGTGCAAGTAAATAGTTGGTTTTTATTTGCTACGCCCCTAACCTTCCCATGCTATGACAAAGATTGAGCTAGAATCTAAGTAGGTTGCAAAACCGTCGATTCCAGTGAGCAGAGTACCATTTAACTGCTGGGAGATGACTGATGCTGATTCATATCCGAAAACTAATCGATTAATGTGAGGCAATTCACAGTGCGTTAATTGCCAATAATCCCCTTGAGACCACCCCGATAGCAAGCTGCAGTTATGCGTCGCCCAGATCCAACTTGATAAACAACCAACCACGGAAAAGTTCGGCAAAAATGTCTTCTGAGCTTGATATTGGATAGTTGTGTGTGCGAAGCGCCTAAGAAAAACCTGTGGAAAATTTTGCATACACATGAATGGAGTCAGTAATCTGTCGTACTACCAAAACAGGAGCCGTCCAATCAGTAATCGACTGGTTGTATGCCATTGTCCGTTTGTAGACGATTAAGTTATTGATTTGATAATGGTTTGATATCCTCGGTGTGGCTGCGCTTGATGTGCATGTTGACAAGATGTCTAACTGTCTATTACCCACTACCTCGTCCATACTGGATCCAGGAGACAGTTGGTCGTTGCTAGATGGGACGGGGTGCACGGTACTTGTGGTCGTGCTAGGCTCGAAGAGTGGTTCCATGCACTCAGTGTGGAGCGGCCTACGGTCCAGCCGCCGCCTTGTGTGCGCTTGATTCCCAAATACATTGTGCTTGCGTCCGCCTGTGAAGGAGTGTGGACCGGCACCGTTGGTGAAACGTGGCTTCCATACATATGTCTCCCGGTCTCATTCCCTCGGGTTTACACTGGAAATGGGATGTGTGGTTGGAGCTGTGGGTGGTGCAGCGCAAGCCATCCATGGTCCCTCTGTAGGCGCAGGCGTCCTGTGGATGGCCACAGGGACAGTCAAATCCGAAACCGGATGCCGCCAACCAAGTTCTTGCTCAGATCGAAGAGTTGATGGTTCGCTGTGGCTTGTGGTGGTGAAATTCTGACAAGTCATGAACCCTTTGCTGCACAATTTCTGCCGTGGCCTCATGCCATGTACAACTCGTGGTGACCGCTGGTAGGGAGTTGGGTTTACCCCTTCTTCTAGCTAAAAACCAGGACACATCCGCGTAAGTCGATTGACTCATGACGCATTTCCCGCTGCCTTTCGGGAGTACATTTAATCGAAGGCTTTGGCTGAGGATCCGAGTCTTTCTCCTGTCCAGATCGGGACGGCCTGATAGGACATCAATCCAACTAGTAAAAATAACTAACACCAGTGCAGATAATTTCAAGCTATATCGGCCGTCGCATACTTGGGAAAAAGGGTTGCCTTAGCTGTCGCATACATCAGGGTGGATAAGGGAAAACACACTACTACTGGCGCTTTAATTCTTTTTTCTTACCCTTACTCTGCACATTCTGGTAGGGCATAACCGGAGTGTGCCAAAGAGGGTGATTGGGCACCCACTGCAGATGATCTGAAGCAACATGTGATGGTTTGTTAGTCATGGAAATCATTGGCTTGTGATCAGGAAAGACGATGTTGAAATGACTGTACTTTGTGTCTCACACTAATTCCACAGTACTTCTCAGAAATTATAGTTACAATGACACCAGAAACAAAAAGGAAACATCCGTGTCCTTTAGACTTGTGGTGTCACGGACATTTTTGTCCTTTATGGTCTTCCATGTTGTTTTTCAAATCTCCTTCGTTCCATGATGGCCATCGTCGTTTGATAAAGTGATTTCGGCCGATCCGCAGGGACGATCACAGCGTCCCTTTCTGAAGATTTTTATACAAGTTCGGCCACAAACTGGATGGCTAAACTTTCTTTTTGATGCGTAAAATAGCAATATTGGCAATTAGGTTCCTGACTCTTGAATGAGTGGAACAACCCCTCTTTTGTTCGGGATATTGCACACATTTCTCTGGTTGTCCCACCTCCCAATCTTTGAAGTTGTTGAGCTATCCCAGTTTCGCTAAGACTGATGTCTATGCATTGTTCAAAAGCTAGTTTTCTCTACCTCGGTAGGTAACGAGCACCTTTCAATTCTGATGCCAATAACGTTCAGATCGTGTACGAGAGAGTTCATAATTGTTTTGTAAACTCGTGACACAAGCTACGCTTTTGTTGTACAAGTTTCAAATACCTCACCGAATCCAATAACACTGGCACACATCTCATTCGGCTGACATTCACAAAACTTAACAAATATCTAAATCATGTCAAAAAGTTCTGTTTGCTAATCAACACCGTTGAGATTTAAGGCTCCTAGAACTCGTCTAGGCTAATCGCCAACGGTATGCTTGGGCGTAACAAACTCGTAGGCCATTGAATGAACGTCCAACTGCTTCGATGGTATGAAGCACCTATACTTCGTCCTGCACATTCTTCGGTTGTCCGGCAGCGAGCTTTCTGTCGTCAGCAAGTGAAGTTGGAAACGGGATCGTTCGGGACCCACCGAAAAACGAGGGTGATTCGGCCAATTTGTGTCCTGTCCTCTGACGCCATGTCGTGGCATTACAAGTGCTGAAACGAAACCTGAGCAGCAATTAAAAATTCGCTGTTCACAGCTACAAGGGTGAGTTAAAGAGTACGTAACGTTGAAACGACATCTCACTGCAGCTCATTTGAGTATTTAATCAGTTTTCATCAATCCTATGCCATAGGTATGAGCTCTTCAGACGACACTCGTTGTTGACTGGACAAGTCCCTCTCTCGTTGTTTGCGACCAACCCGTGCTTGATCTATGCTGGGCTCAGCCAATTATGTGTTATTCAACCGAACTATGGAATTGCAGTCAGCTTGCGTGAGCGGCACTAGAGTGACTTTCTACGCACTAACTCCGCATCGGTTCCGTACACCGAATTGTTAGGGCTAAGACCATCCCAATACGAAGTAAATTAACAGTCTGAAAATCA